TAAATGACCATAATATAGTGTTTAATAAACTCAGAGATAGAAACTTTTCAAGTAAGAAACAAGTAAGCATTTGCAAAAAATGTGTAGGAAAACTGGAAAGTAGTTTGGCAGAAATTAGGTATGGATCAACATCTTACTCCATTTACCAAAATGAGGTCAAAATGGGTAATGATCTCTACATAAAAGGTAAAATAATAAATATATTAGGGGAGCATGGAAAAATTTACCTGTCAGATCTATGGATGAGGGAAGAGTTTATGACCAAACAAGAGACAGAAAGCATCATAGGAAGTAAAATGGATCATTTTCATTATATGGAATTAAAAGTTTTTCCACACACACAAAAAATACAGCCAAAACTAGAAGGAAAGCAGGAAAAAAAGGGGGGATACATAAAGTTTATCTGATGACGGCCTCATTTCTCAAACATTCAGAGAACTGAAAAAAATTTACAAGAAAATATGAGCCATTTCTCAATTGATAAATGATAAAAGGATGTGAAGAGGTAGTTTTCAGATGAAGTAATCAAAGCAATTTATAATCATACAAAAATTGCTCTAAATCACTATTACTTAGAGAAATGAAAATTAAAACAACTCTGAGGTACCACTTCATACCTATCAGATTGGCTAATGTGACAGAAAAGGAAAATGACAAATGTTGGGGGGATGAGGGAAAATTAGGACACTGATGTACTGTTGATGGAGTTGTGAATTAGTCCAATCATTCTAGAAAACAGTTTGCAACTACAGACAAAGGACTTTCAAACTATGCATGCCCCTTAACCCAACAATACCATTACTAGGTCTGTATCCCAAAGAGATCAAAGAAAAGGGGAAAAGGACATATATATACAAAACTATTTATAACACCTCCTTTTGAGATGGCATAGAATTGGAAATTCAGGGGATGTCCATCAATTGGGAAATAGCTGACAAGTTATGGTATTTGATTTTGATGAAATCCTATTGTCCTGTAAGAAATAAGAAAGTTTCAGAAAAACCTGAGAAGACCTGTATGAACTGATGCAAAGTCATGTGAGCAAAGACAGAAAAGCATTGTACAGCAATATTGTAATGATGATCAATTGTGAAAGACTTAGGTTCTTTGATCAATACAATCATCCAAAGTATTTCCAATAGACCCATGAAAAAAAATACTATCCACCTCCAGAGAGAACTGATGAACTCCGCAGAGATTTAAACATATCTTTTTCATTTTCTTTACTACTTTATTTTTATTTCTCTTTCTCTTTCTTTCTTTCTTTCTTTCTTTCTTTCTTTCTTTCTTTCTTTCTCTTTCTTTCTTTCTTTCTTTCTTCCTCTCTCTCTCTTTCTTTCTTTCTTTTACAATATGGTAAATGAAAATGGGACAGTTATTTGGTGCTGTGGATAGAGCACTGGGATAGAGTCAGGAAGATCTGAATTAAAATTTGGCCTCAATCACTAGCTGTGTAACCCTAGGGAAATCATTTAACTCTGCTTTCCTCAGTTTCTTCATCTGTAAAATGATCTGGAGAAGGAAATGGCAAACCATCCTAGTATTTTTGCCAAGAAAACCTCAAATGAAGTTATAGTCAGACACATCTGAAATGACTGAACCACCACAACAAACATAAAAATATGTTTTGCATGACTTCACATGTGTAACTGATATCTTATTGCTTACCTTCTTAATGGGTGGGGGCAGATATGAGGAGAGGAGATCAAAATAGAAACTCAAAATTTTTAGAAATGAATGTTAAAATAAATAAATTAAACAAGGCAGGGGGAAGAAACTAATGGTGTTGTTAAAAATAACTAAGGTCAATTTTCAGCCATTCTTTCCTCAGGAGTGTATAAATTGTAAAGGTAGTAATTATCAAATAAGTAACAATTATATAGCCCTTCAAGACTTATAAAAAAGTTGTTTTTAAATTAATTATCTCATTTAGTTCTTGCAGTAACCCATAAGTACTTCAGATGATTTCATCAACCTTATTTTATCAATGAGGAAAGGGAAACCCAGAGAAAGGTTAAACAACTTCTCTATATTAATGGATCTAAATATTTGTTAGAGACAAAATTTGAACCCATTTTCTTTTTTTTATTTTTTGGCAATTGGGCTTAAGTGACTTGCCTAGGGTCACACAGCTAGTAAGTGTCAAGTGTTTGGTCTGAGGCCAGATTTGAACTCAGGTCCTCCTGACTTCAGGTCTGTGCTCTATCCATTGTACCACCTAGCTGCCTCCCTGAACCCATCTTCCTGATGCTAAATCCACCACTCTATCCATTCTGCAGTGATTATGTAGCCCTTTACATGATATTCACATGTGTTTGATATGAGGACTACAGGTATTATTATCAGCCCTTTTTTACACATTAGGAAACTGAAGCTCAAGGATATTGGCACATGGTTGCACATGAGGTAACTGGGAACTTAGGCATCTCCTACCATTGTTCTAATGTTCCTTAGGCTATGTCAGAGCGTCTCACAAATAGAATAATTGGAACCTGTAGAATGTGAAGTATACTGCAACATATTTACAATATTGACCTAAGTACAAGATATAGTTCTAGACATATCACTAGGCAACTGATCAGAAAAAGAAATAGATCATCCATGTGATGAGTAGTTGAATAGAAAGAGCACTGACTTTGGATTCTGAGGATCTGGGTTCAAATCCCTCCCCTGACATTTATTGTTTGTGTAAACTTATACCAGTCAATTAACTTCCCTGGACTTCAGTTTTCTCATTTGTAAAATGAGGGAGTTGGATTTGTTAATTTGTAAGCTCTCCTCTAGATGTAGATGCATGATCCTATGAAGAGATGGACAACTCAATTGCATTACTGCCTTGCTTTAACCCTCAATATTTGTCTTTGCTAAATAACTGAAGATTTAATTTGTAAACTCACAAGTTTAAAAAATGGCATAATAGGAGTTAGCTCCAAAGTGTCCATGGGGTTGTCATCTATATAAGTCACTAGCATCTTTTCCTGATGTACAAAGATACTTAAAATTACCTGCATTTGCTGCCACTTGGTTTTGTAATACCATCAGGAGGAAGACTATCAAAAACAGATCGTGTTTGTTTTTCAATGTGTGAAGAAGAAAGACATCAAAATAAGGTCCATTAAAAAAAAAACAAAAAAAGTAAGTCCCATTCAACATTGGTCTGAGTAACCATTTTAAACCATATGTTTTAGCATATTCATGAGTATGTAAAACTTGTAGAATAATTTTCAAAATTCACAAAATCACTGGGGCAGGACAAATAATCTTGTGTCTACTTGATGATTTTGATTAGCTTAGCCAGCATACATACATACATACATACATACATACATACATACACATATACACATGTATCTATGTATGTGTCTCTGTGTATATGCTGTTCGTATGTAGATATGTGTATATATGTAGATGTCGACATGAATATGCGTGTGCATGTATGTATATATACACATATATATTCTATTATTAGGTTTTGAGTTTGGATTTGGTTTTTATTTTATCATTTTTTTAAAATGTAGGTAATTAAATCTTAAATAGAGTAAATGAACAAATCATCATCAATAAACATTGAGGAGAGTGTTAAATGAAAATTCCTTCATGTTCAACCTGAGCAAATAGATACAGACGTATGTTCTCAATCAATTCATCAATTTGTATAAATGTGGTAAGAAAATTTGTATCAAGTTCTCAACAAACTCACTTATCTTTCAGAGCAATATATTAAAACCAAGCAAACACTCTCAGAGGAATCTTTAGCAACTCTTTTTCCTCTCCATTACATTTGTTAAGCATATTCTCTAATGTGGTCTGAGAGATTTCCCTACTTGCAGTGATGAGCTTCTCTTGTACATATTATATATCCTTTGGCATATGCTTCTCTTTGTTACTATCTGATGAGTATTATGGTTTATCTTAAAGATAAGATCTTATGTACATAGGACTTAAGCTTTATTCTCAGCTAATTTGTGATTGTTTTCCAAATTGGGAGATTATCTATAATGTATTTTTTTTCCTCTTCTCTCCTACAAAACTGCAAAATAATGGTCTATTTTTTTTTGTCTACCTGACTAATCCAATCAGGAGACAGTTAGGGCAATAACGAAAATCCGCCTTCCTTGAAGGTTTTGCTTGTGCTGCTCTAGGCTTGTTCTTAATGAAAAATAATGTTTTGTTCATTAAGTCAACTCTGCTAGCAAATAATCTGATTGGTTGGAAACCACACACATTTCTTCTGATTCACACTATAGTTATCACAGCCAACTCCAATTGAAATATGTAACACACACTGATTAAATAGACCTGTCTTTTTAAACTATGACTTTTATCTCACTCATTTGTTTTGCCAAACATTGGTACGAGATAATTTATAACATATAATAACTGAATTAGGGTCTGTCTTACCTTCTGTGGGTATTCTTATCACAGAACACGGTGCTAAGAAGGATTTTTGTCAGATGAATGACTTACAATGATGCCAAGACCTTTTATTAACAGGAATACTGATGGATATAAATCATAAAGAATACAAATCCATACAAAGTGACTGAATGATTAGGGAGCTGGGATTTTATGTGGTGACACTATAAAATTTTAATTGAGGCAAAGTTATTTATATTTGAGACAAATCTTTTTACCTCTTACCTGACAAAACCTTTTACTTTCATTTCCTATTGATCTAAAAGTATCTGAATATTTCACATGGATCCATATAATACCCTCCAATTAAAAAGGTACATTTCTTTGTCTTTCTTAAACACTTATAGGTAAATTTCTGAAAATTGGCCAGTGGGGTGCCTCTCAAGTTTATCAAAGGACTCTCTATCATGACACAGGCTTTGAATCATAATACTGAAGTGAAAATTACTCTTCTCGGAAGCACTAATTAATTGTCTATGTGTACAGGGAAAATGTATAACCTCACAATTTACTAGTACTTAGCACTGTATTATTGAGTGTATTCAAGATTCAGACACAGTCTCAACAATGAAGGCATTACTTACAGCTGGAGAATATCAGTGGGCACGAATGTTCATCCATTGGGAAATTATGGAGCTGCAGCTGGCATTCCGCATTGATGGTGAGCCTATGGATAAGCCAAGCATCACTTTCATGGCCAGGTATATTAGGACACAGTTGAGTTCATGGGTAAGGTCTGCTGGGAACTATTTATGTCAGGGAATACAACACATGTACAATTTCATATCTCTCTAGGCAGCTGTTGCAGATTGACAGTGGTTTATTTAACAACACTAGTCTTCAGGCCCTTTCTTTCTTTTTTAAAACTACCAGCAAAGGCTAACCAATTTGGAAAATCAAAGGCCATAGCTAAAAATCACACGTTTTCCTGGAGAAGGAAAAATGATGACAACAACAACAACAACAAAACCAATTACTGGTTCAAATTCAGTCAATTTTTTCATGTTAACTGTTCAAAATATCCATTTGTTTGAATTTTAACTGCTTGTTCATGTTTTCAATCTGATTTATGTATATAGATAAGAACAATATGCAGTCCACTCATTTGCAGAAGCACTCACAGATTAATTTTATTAGAGAATAATGATTAAAAGGATAGACAGCATGGCATAACCACGATGCCCTTTGGGCAACTCACTAAGACTTAGAATTAACACTGTGAGTGACAAAGGAGTTGCACATCTGTGTCAGGAATCACCATACCAGGAATTCCCCAAGTTGATGAAATCACAGATCCACAAATCCTTCTTGTCTCTCTGCTGAACCAAAAAGATAATAAATACAAAAGAGTTGAGAGATACTAGAGGACTGAATATATTCCACTTATTTCACAAGACTCAAATATGAAAGGGAACACGGACATCTATATGAGTTTGAATCAAACAGACAGCATTGCCTCTAAGAGAGCTTTTAAAATCTCAAAAAGGAAGAGATACTGTAGCTTATCCCTCATAGACTGATGACTGAGACACCAGTAAGTTTTAAATCTGGTTTGCCCAGTTTCCTACAGGGAAACAGTACAGAGTTAAATGAGCACAGTTACAATACTCTGTATTAATATATGTCTTCTAAATTAAAGGGATACCTCTGAAGTCATCAGATATCCCTTAGGAAGTAGCATTTAGGAATTTCTTTGCTTTTCTGCATCCAGGCAGAAAACCATGTATTTATTCTGATACTACTCCCAGATATAGAACTGTTTTCTGGATGCCTGCATTTGCTGAGCATTATGCAGAAGCTACAAATTTCCCTTCATCATGTTAGAAGTAGACAGGACTTTAGAGATTATCTAGTCTAACTGCCTCATCAACAGATGAGGAAACTGAGGCCCCAATATGTAAAAAGTAATCTGTGAATGGTCATATAGGTGGTAAATGGCCCTAGGCTTCGGCATCAGTCCCATTTTTTTTAACTCCAGATGTGATATTCTTCCCTCTACAGCATGCTGTCTTCCATGGTTATAAACACTTTGGAAAACTTTTTCAAGAATATCCAGTTTTAGAGAAGTGCCATTTGTAAGGCACTAACACTAATCTCCTTTTATTCAGGTTTCAGAAGCCTGAAAATTTGTTGCCTACAACATGCATTTGGGTGAGTTCGATCCCAATCAGCCTTACCCTTCTCTGTACTATGTGTCATTTCCTTGTACCTTTTGGTTGGGTAACAAACAAAGTCTGTAGACTCAAATCCTTAAGCATAGTGATATATCCATACCATAGAAGGCATGGATAAACATTTGCCAACTTGGCATAATAGGCTGTCAGAATTTTCATTGATTCCCATTTGCACTTACCAATATTACATCCATATATTTGAAAAGCTTGAGGCCAAAAAACATTAATGTCACAAATACAAAATTTCCATAGAAATATAATCAAAAAGTCAAAAAAGAGAGGCAAAATTGACTATCATTTATTTTAGGGGCCCTCAATAATCATTTAAGAATTGGGCATGCAGCTATTAGTCCATTTACATGACTGTTTCCCATGATAACTGCAGTGATCCTTTGTCATCATGTGGTCAGTCAAGGAACTATTCACATTTTGATATCTAACTGTGCATTTTGGGATGTGATCACTAATCATGCACACCTTCAAGGACATTTATTAATAAGGGAGGGAAGGGAGAAAAAGAGAGAAGGAAAGAGGCGGAAAGAGACAGAGAAGAACAGATAGACAGACACACAGAGAAAAAGACAAAAACAGAAAGAAAAAAAGAGGGGGGAGAGAGAGAGAAATTGAGAGAGAGAGAGAGAGAGAGAGAGAGAGAGAGAGAGAGAGAGAGAGAGAGAGAGAGATTTCCAATGTACTTCAGTTCACTGAGCTTAGCTGAGAGGACCATTGTATGCAATAGTTTGGAGACAAGATATCACTGTAGGTAAGGTCAAACAGAGAAAACATGTCGTGGTAGGGGGGGCAGCTTGCTGTGAAGATTTCATCATGCTGGAATTGCAATAGTTCCCATGAACTAAGTAAAAATACTTGATTAAAAGGGTTATTTAAATGTTGTTTTGGTAAGCCTTTGTTACTATCTTCAAATAAAATAACTGAATAGTACTACACTATAGTTTGCATATAAATTAGACTTAGTAAAATGATATCACTTCCATTTTGGTTGTGAGTTGTTGCTGTGTTTTTGTGGTGTTTGTGTGTGCTTATACAAAAGATGTGAATGTTCATGCAAGAAGTGAAAATGAAGCATATATAAATATATGCATATATATGTATATATATATGTGTGTATATACATATATATACATATATATGTATATATATATATATATAATTTTAAAGGGAACACTTTTTTGAGATTCAAAGAAGAGCTATGATCCAGTTTATTTGGTCTATCTTTGGTTTATTGAGCTGATTTCCTATTATGTGCCAAGACTTAGGCACACCTGGCAAGCATTCTTTCAGTTAGATTCTAGGTTCATTTTATTTATGTGTAAAGTAAAAGGCTAGGGCTAGATGATCTCTAAATTCCCTCAATCCTGTAACACTTCACACATCTTTATTATATTTATTTTATTATATTCTATTATATTTATTATATTAAATGAATAAAACTAGGAATCTTTAAAGTTTTTGGTTCAGTTTTCCATAGTCTTATCACTTTCATCTAGATAACCAGTACCATTAAAAAGAAAACTGACAAGAAAATAAAATGGTGAGAGTTTCGATCTCTCTCTCTCTCTCTCTCTCTCTCTCTCTCTCTCTCTCTCTCTCTCTCTTGTTCTGGTTTCAAGTCATCATCCCCCACACCATACCTTCCAGAATACATCCTGCAAAATATTTTTAAGTTCTGTTTTTACACTTTTAGTAGTATATGAACAAGATAACAAGTTTGAAGATCATTTACTGGGACTTCCATCTTTCCTACTGCATACTTTGCATTGGGACCATTGGAATATTACCATGAAAATTCATGTAAAGTATGCAAAATTGGTGAAATTGCAAAGTGGAGGGTCTACCATATTCTAATTCAGTAACCCAAAATAAAATGAGTGATGATCTAAGAAATTTTTATTCCCAGTGTTACCAAATGAACAGACATACCCTTACCTTAAAGTATACAAGATTTTCCCATCATTCCATATTCTAAGGAGTTGGTTGGGTGTTGTAATCCAGTGAGCTTCTGCAGTTTTTGAGTTCCGGAAGATGGTATCTGGAATCCAGATTAATCCAACCATATTGCTGTTCAGAGTTAATATTTTCATTGTGCTGTTGAATCGAAGGCGACTGTCTGTCCAAGTCTGAGCAAAAAAGATATCAATTTGGTATTCCTGGCAAGAAAACAAAAAGAAAGGAGGTATTTTAATTGTAGCTTTTCTTTATATCTCCTATCTTAAATCTACCCATTTCTATGTACTCTCCCCTTTCCTCATTTTTAAAATTTTAAAATTTTTGGAATTACAGAAATCTGTCCATTCCTTTCTTGGCTTGCTATTTATGACCTGAACCTTCTTCTCAGAGAAATCAGAATGCAGCTTTATACCTACAACATCTTTATTCCATCACCTTGGGAACAGGGGGTTTCCTGACATTGTTGTATAGTACCACAGGTGTTTAAGAATTAAAAATTCAGGGATCATTAAAGATGGTCATCACTGATAAAGTAAATGAGCTAATGACAGACAAATGGAGTTAAACAGGACAACATTTACTATCCCAGAACATTGTTTCATTTTCACCCTGTCACTTAGATATTCTTTTGCATGTTTAGCCCTAAGCAAAAAGCATGTTGCTACCATTATAGATGCAAATTCATTCTTCTTCTTCTTCATAGATGATACCTCTCATTCTCCCCTCTCTTCCCCCCACAGTAAGTGTTCAGAACTCAAAGGAACTTCATTAATATGCTAATATGGTAGTCTCTAGTTGCAATGCTGTGATGATATGATGTAAGAAAGGGGACCCATTCCCTCCCTTCCTGTATATTTGATGCTAAGCAGCTCTAAATCATGTGTATGGATTAGTAAACTTTTGATCTTTGTAGGGTCACATGACCACTTTTTTTTTTACAAATATAACTTATCATTGCAATAGCTGTATGAGAATGGGCAAATAACTTAACCTCTATGTCCTCGGGCAATTTCCTAGAATAAATCTGCTGAGTCATAGATGGGGCGTAAACTGCACTGGTAGAGAGAGTTCATAAACCAAGGGAGTGACACAATTCAACTGAATTTAATAAGCTTTTATGAAGTACTTCATAATGTGCCAGGCACTGTGCTTGGATCTGGGGATACAAAAGACAAAAAAATGAGGCTGTCTCTGCCCACTAGATACTAAAATTTTACTAGGGAAGAGGAACATGTTCGTTGATAAGTAAACAAAGAGACACAGAAGACATGAAAAATAACATGGCAGGGACACTGACGATTGGCAGCATCAGGAAAAGCCTCTTGGAAGAGGTAGCGTTTGACATGACTCTTGAATGGAAATAGGAATTCCAAAAAGTGACAGAGAAGAGGGATAGCCTTCCAGACCTCATGAAAAAATCACAAAAGTGATCCATGGAATGTTCCTATACAGAGAGCATGATATTTTGACTAGAAATTAGACTGAGAGAGAATAATGTGAAATAAGTTTGGAAAGGTGATTGGGATAGAAGGGTTTTAAACGAGTTTTATCTTAGTGACAATAGTGACCCGCTGAAGCTTCACAAGCAAGGTGGTGACAAAGACAGAAGTGCAGAGTAAGAATAATGATTGGTATCTATGTGGGTGTTGGTATGGTGATAGCAATATACTAAGGCCCCACAAAAGAGCATATTAGACTCATTTTTTTCCTGAAAAGTTATTGAAACTCAGGATTTAATTCTTTTAGAGGTCTAGGGCTTTGTTCCTTAATATCTTTTTCTGGTTGCCTAACTAGAAAAACAACCAAGACAAGAGGGGCTAGAACTCTTCTCTGAGGCTTCAAACCTCAGACCAGCCAAATGGCCAACACCAAAGCAGGAAATCATTCTACTCAATTGCAGGGCCACTCATCAATTGGGGAATGGCTGAACAAGTTGTGGTATATGATTGTTATGAGGTCCTACTGTACTGTAAGAAATGATGAGCTCAATGATCTTAGAAAAACATGGAAAGACTTGCAAGAAATACTGTATCAACTGCATACTTAATGAATGCCCCTTCCCATGCTTTAAGTAAACCTGCTTTTATTAAATGTTTGATGGACTACGATTGTCTAATTTTGTTCTGATTCTCAACCTGATGTATTTTTTTTTTTTGGCATAGGAGGCTCCATTCGTTGAAGATTCCTTATATAGAGGGTATTTATTGAAAGTGGGGAGGCAGGCATCAGGTTGGAAAAGGGCCTGTTGCAAGGAAGGTTAGTGTCTCCTCAAAGAAAAAAGATTTTTTTTCATATCACAAGTGCAAACAGTTATATTTGAAAAAAAATGTGGTCATGTGACCCTACCAGAGAAATTGAATCACAATATTAAATAATTTTCCAAAAGTCACATGGAAAGTCAATAGTTATTTTGCAGTGTTTTAACTCTGATATTTAAATAAATCCTAGAATTCCAAGTATAACCTTTAGAAAACTACAGCCCAACTTTCCCCCCTTACTCTTTGCTAATAGAAAAAAATAAACAGATTGAAAGCAGAAAAACCCATTTTGTACTACTCTTTATGTTTCATGATGAAGCAATACTGAGAGAGATCTCAATGTGATCCTGGTTAAATAGCCCTCAGTTTCCTCATTTGTAAGATGCGGGTGGTGGTGGAACAGTCTCAAAAGTGTTAGTTCTGACATTTTATGTGAAATTAGTTTACTTCCAAACATAAATTCATTTTAGCACTAAATTGTTCATTTCACTTGGTCTATTTTGTCAAATGGCTGTGAATTTTTTAAAGTGATTCTAAGACATCTCATCTTTTTTGATTTCTTACATTTGCCATGATGATACAGTAGGATAACTGTTCCATACCTGTGCCATTGCCCCCCATTACAGAGGCAATACAAGAATAGGTGGCAATAAATATAATAAATTCAACAGGAAATATATCACTCAATTGGTCAAAGAGTAGTGGAGCAAAACATTAGTAGTATCTTTCAAATTCTGCCTCCAACAGAGACACAAAGTAGTCCCATATCGTAATATCATTTTCCCAATATATCTTTTATTCAAGATCATGTCACCAACTTCAACTTGGTAACAGTGTGGCTTGTTCACTCTGACCATTAAATTGTTTCTAAATTTAACAAATGTTTGAAAAGAACCTTATACACACAAAGAAAGATAATATTGCTTTTATTATAGAAGCAGTCTTTTTTTTTCCCCCCCAGTGGAGTTATCCATTACTTTTCCTTGGGCAAAAAGAAATCCCCAAATGGCTTTTTGGAATATATATTACACTTTCACATTCATAAATATCTTTGAAATTAAAGTGTCTGATGTACAAATAGTTTATTTGAGAAGCAAAGTACTGAATTTAAAAGTGACAGGGGAAAATTAATATGTACTGAATACATCATTGCAAATGTTAGTGTTTTCGGATTCCTAAATAATTTGTTTTAATAATTTTAGTGTCTAATGAGTCCTAAATAAGCCATGAATTATTATGGTGTGTGGAAGATGCTAGCACAACAGGAGAAAATCATACTTATGAATATAACATTCATTATCCACAACTTTGACAGAACTACAGAAATATTTCCCAACCTAAGTATCCCTGCCATTTATTGAAGTGGAAAAACAGAGACTGTAAGCTCTTAAGAAGCTGAGACTCTGGTATTACAGAGTTATTTTTTAATGGTGCCTATTCTAGCATATCAAATTATACCTTTACTAAATACCTCAAATAACATTGCCCATACCAGCCCTGTATCACAATGATTTAATGATGCATTTAAACAATATCTAAAATATTATGAGCCCCAACTGTAGCATGGCTTTTCTATTTTTTTAAAAATACCATACTAATTCCGTGGTTACTGATGATCTTGCCTCATATTTAAGCCCCAAAGGCACTAACTCTCCCAAACATCAGACTGTATAACAGTGCCAGATTGCTGCACATGACTTTGTTCTCAAGAAATTAATTTCCTCCTACAGCATTAGTTCCCAACTATGTTTTATAGACTTTAGATAGGGATGATAAAAAAAAATGATAAAGATACAAATAGATTCTTCTTTCATCTCTTCACTTACATAGTGAGTCACACTGTACATTGACTTCAACATCATGAGGTCATTTTGGTCATCTTTGAGTATGAAGGACAACAACCACCAAATCACCGAAAGGAAGGGAATGAAGCAAATGACCTCTAAGGTCCTTTTCAGTTCTAAATCTGTAATTTTTGGCTTAGAACAAAGCATACTATACAAAATAAATAGATAAATAAAAACCTGTTCATGAGGCCTGAGAGGAAAGTTATTACTAGCCTTAGGGATGAGAAGTGAGAGAAGGCTTTTTGGAAGTGGTGGCATTTAAATTGCATTTTAAAGAATGAAAAGGAATTCTAAACAAAAGGGACGAGGATGGGGCATTCTAGCCAAAGGCAACAGCTGGAACAAAGGTAAGGAGCAACTGAAAGATCTCTAGGCAGTTACAGATAACAGGATACACCTAGTGATCCCTGACCAGGTAGCTGTTGCATAGCATTTGGCTCCCCTGAGTTAGAAGTGAGGACAGGTCACTATTACAGCTTGAAACCAAGAGAGAGCCTTTGATCACCATTCTTTCTTTACAAAATCTTCTATGAATTCCCTGCTTCCTACAAGGTGTCAAAGAGAGAAGATATTGTGGAGAAATAATTGATAGGATGATGGATCTGGATTTGGAAGGAACTTCAGAAGATAACTATCTAATTTTACAGAGGAGGAAACTGGGGGGCTTGATTGGTCCAAAATTAAACAAACAGTAATTTGCAGAGGTCAGATCTGAACCTATGTCATCTGACTTTAGGGCCAATGATTTTTCTTTTTTTTAATTTTTTAAAATTTTATTAATTTATTTTGATTTATCAACAATCACTTCCATAGGCTTTTGATTTAAAAAATTTTTCCCCCTTCCTCCCTACCACTCTCCCCAAGACAGCGCACAATCTGATACAGGCTATACATTTGCATTCCTATTAAACATATTTTCACATTAGTGAAGTTGTAAGGAAAAATTAAAACCAAAAGAAGGAACCATCAGAAAGAGGAAACACAACTCAACAGAAGAGAAAAAAAATGATAGCGATTCAACTTTCACAGTTATGACTATTATCTGTGTCTTTTTCTCCATCCTTTTCCCCCATTTATGTTTTTCTTTCCCCTATA